TTTTTTTTTGTTGCAACTAGCCATTTTCCCACCCTCTATATATACATCTAGCTCCTTCTTAAACATCTCATTCACATACAACAAAATAATAATCTTCATAATATTGTAATAACTAATAAGCCTACCAAATAATAATAATAAAAATAATGTTACAATTATCTTCTAGTAACTCTTCCTTAAGCTTTGCTAGGATGATGTTTCGATACGTTATCGGGGCAATGCTATTGATGGGGATGGTAGCTAAAGGGTTTAGGTTTGGAGTTGATGCTGTGTCCATGAATTATTATATCATGAGCTGTCCAATGATTGATGGAATTGTTAGAGATGCAGTTTCTAGGGCTCTTCAAGATGATCCTACCTTGGCTGGCCCTCTTTTAAGAATGCATTTCCACGACTGTTGGATACAGGTAATTTTGCATTGTGCATATTATATGGAATTGAATGATCTCTGTAAAGTTTCGAATCATTTGTAAATGATTTGTTTTTTGTACGTAGGGATGTGATGCATCAATCCTTATTGACTCGACAAAGGATAATACGGCAGAGAAGGATTCTCCTGGAAATCTAAGCTTGCGAGGATATGAACTCATAGACAACATTAAGGATGAACTCGAGGACCAATGTCCTGGAGTAGTTTCTTGTGCTGATATTATAGCCATGGCTGCTAGAGATGCAGTTTTCTTGGTAATATTGATTTTCATTCTAATATTGGATCATTCATCTAAATACAAAGTAATTTATTTTATCTACGCTTAATAAAGATTGTACTCATTTATATCTAACTTTATTTAAACTAGTAAAATGACAACCGATAAGGGTAGTGTTGCGCTCCATTGCATTGAGTATGTGCCAAAATTGATGAAGTGCAATTACTATCATCATGCATCATTAAGATATACTCCGTATAAAGCATGATTACTTTCTAATTTTAAAGTTTTAATTAATGTAGAGTGGTGGTCCAATATATGACATACCTAAAGGAAGGAAAGATGGAAGAAGATCAAAAATAGAATACACAATCAATCTCCCTTTTCCCACTTTCAATAGCTCCGAACTCATTAGAGTTTTTGGACAACGCGGCTTTACTATTCAAGATATGGTCGCTTTGTCAGGTACCACTATTCTTCAAACTTGACATTCTTGACACATTATTTCATTAAAAATTAAATTCTAGATATTGTGTACTTTCTTTGGTTATACACACATACGCCAATTAGTTTAGTTCGTACGTGTATGAAGCAAATAAAACTTTGACAGGCATTCAAAATTAGATATCTTAATCATCATGTTGACATGACAATTGTTAACCTTTAACAATTGTTTTTTTCATTATCATTATCATACAACATGATTATATGAGTTAGAAATCTTTGAATGAAAATCTTAATTTGACAAAGTTTTTAAGCACGCTTATTAAATATTAGCTAACAGATTTAAACTTCTCCTATGTCATGTCTATTTTATAAGTACAAAAATAATACGAACCCCACTCAATGTATGTTAATATATTATGCAACATATTCCTATTTATCACCTAATCTTGTTTTATTCCTTGAATACTTGATGTAGGAGCCCACACATTGGGAGTGGCAAGGTGCGCTTCATTCAAGAATAGACTAAGCAAATTCGACAATACACATGAAGTGGACCCATCATTAGATGCTAATTTTGCTAGTACAATTTCTAAGACATGTAGTGCTGGTGATAAAGCAGAACAACCCTTTGATGCCTCAAGGAATGATTTTGACAACCTTTATTTCCATGCATTACAAAACAAGGCTGGTTTGCTTACTTCTGATCAAACCTTATTTGATAGCCCTAGAACTCGAGGCTTTGTCAATGGTTATGCCATGAATGAAGCCATGTTCTTCATGGATTTTCAACGCGCCATGGTTAAGATGAGCTTGCTCGATGTCAAAGAAGGAGCCAAAGGAGAAGTTCGTAGAGATTGTCGTAAAATTAATTGATTAGTTACGCATTTCTTTCATCAGGGACACCCCGTGTAGAAACGACGCTACAATATGAAAAATACTATCGGTAGAGTTTGAGGGAATTCTTGCAATGTAAACAAGATATGTTGTGAATATGCTTTTAATTTTCTTACTTATGTAATTAGTGCTATGTGTTTTGTTTTAGAATTTTATGTAATGTCATGCCATATATAATTCAATATACTCCCTTCGTTAATTTTTAAGTGCAACTTTGGGGTAAATAACGGTTCACGAGGCAAAAATTAAGGGGTAAATATTAGAGGAAGTATAATGGTGATTAATATATTATAGGAGTATGTAATTAAGGTGGAAAGAGAATGTTTAAAGAAATCAACCACCCACTGCCACCACCAAGACCAGCCAACACCACCGTTAGCTTCACCACCACCACTACCACCCCACGAAACCACCACCGCAACCAACCCCTCGAAACCAGTCCGAACTTGCAGTCCACGAAACCAGTCCGCAACCAACCCCACGAAACCAGTCCGCAACCGACCCCCACGAAACCACCACCGCAACCACCTTCAATAAAACCCAAAACCCACGCCCTAGACCCACCTCTAACCCAGACCACCCAAAAATCCGGCACCTCCACCCACCCACTCACCCCACCGTAACCAACTCACAACACTAATCCTTACCTAAAAAAATCGAACAAAATCCAAAAAAAACCCAGAAATTCGAAGATAAATCACCCAAAAAAAATCGAAAAAAAAAAAACAAAATTGTAGATCTACAATAATCAACAATAAAACGGAAAATTAACAATAGAAATACAATACAAAAACATACAAGAAGCTTACAACTCGGAAAATTAACAATAAAAATGGTAGATTTACAATAATCAACAATAAAAACACGAAACAAAAACGAAAAACGAAACAAATCAAACTGTAAATCCCATTTTGCAGTGGCGAACGATGTCTTCGTTGTCGAGCTTTGAAGCTGTACACCCCATTTTTATGGGTTAGTTTTACAGAGAAATTTGAGAGGAAAGAGAGTGGGTTAATGGCGGTGTGAGGGGCGGTGGTGTGAGGGAAGACTAGCTTACTGTAATAGGAGAGAGAATGGTGGTGTGAGGGGCGGTGGTCGTGACTCGTGAGGGAGGAGGGATGAAGAGGCTGAAGGTGAAAGAGATGAACAGGGTGAAGGAGATGAAGAAAGGTTGAAGAAAGAGATGAATGGGTGGTGGGTAGACTAGGAGATGATTAAATGGGGTAGGTAGAATTAGATTAATAATTTTAGATTAGATTAAAAAGTTATTGTGATTAAAATAAGATAAGGGTAAAATTAAGAAAATCTGAATTTTTAAGTAAGGGTAAATTTGTAATTTTCAAGGTTTTTGTTTACTAAAAATAGAAAGAAAATAGAAAGTTACACATAATAGTTAGTGGACTAAAATAGCAAAAGTTGCACTTAAAAATTAACGGAGGGAGTATTAGATATGTATATGTATGATGAAGGTTTCAAGTGTTGATCCTTTTTGCCATTTTAGAATAACAAGTCATATCTTTTATGTCATGCACATCATCTTATATGACTTTAACCTTACCATTACCATCATTTTATAATAACTTATTAAAGTATCTTTTTATGATGCATAGTCAAATGTCTGATCATGCATTATTTAATATTATAGTCAAATTTAACAATGATTAACCATCACACTAATTAACTAGTATCATGTAAAAGAATGATTTAGATAACAGTACTTACAAGGTTGATACATCTTTAATCAAGAGTTGACCAAGTATATTCAACTATACCCGACTCAAAAATACCTTGACAACATATGTATTGCTTTCGATCCCATGACACAATCTCAGTGTTCACCAAAGATCAAACCATCTAAAGAAAGAGATATCTAGAAAATTGGCCAGCTACACTGTCATTCCATAACTATCTCTAATCCGATAAGTCGGATACAACAGAAAGCAACAAACATGATACATGAGCAAGAATCAATAACCCGTCCTTTTATAACCCATCTATTATATCATAGTCCTTACTCCTTAGTAGACATGTTCAACGGGTCAGGCTGGGCTGAGCCAGGCTTTACATGAAATGGGCCAGGCCAAGCCTAATCCAAAATGGGCCGAGCTTGTCCATGGGTCATTAAACCCAGCCCGACCCAGCCCATTCAAAATGTATAAACAAACTTAAAGGCAACATTTTGGAACACTGATGTTTTAACCCATTCTGATGTCATTGAAAGACACACTAATTAATAAGGATCAGCATATTCCCCTGATGTTTAGTATTTATACTATCTAACTATCTACCTGTTGTCAGAACAGATTCAATTACAGTTTCTTCATTTATTACAGGTTATATCAGTAGCAAAGACAATAACCAAAGCCTCATAAGTCGCATCGAGCCCTCGTCTAAACCACAACTTCAAACTCCAAATTAAATTATTAAACACAAAAATACAATTAATCATTTGAAAATAAAAACATTCCCTAAAAAAAAAACAAATAATTAAATAAATAAGAGGCAATTGGACACGCCATTAATACACTGAACATGCAATGAAGAAGAACAAGTAATTAATCAACTACAAAAATGAAGTTGACATTGAAAACAATAAATAGAAAAATAGAAAACAAAATTAAACCTGAAGCGAACGAATCGAGGAGCGTCGTAATTAGATGATCATCAACAAATAGGGATTTGCAACGAAAATTCCGCAGATTTAGCGGCAAATTTCGAGGAGAGAGAAAGTGAAAAGGAAGACGGCGATATAAAAACTGAATGTTTAATGAGTTGCTTTTTTGTATTAGGAAGTTTTAGAAACAGAAAAATTAGGATAAAAAAAGTTCATAAGAGTTATTCAATTTTAGCCCTTTTTAACTTAAATTCAACTCTTTAAAAGCTCATTATTTAATAACCCTTTAAAAAAAGGTTCATAAGATAAAAAAAGGTTAATAACCCTTTTTTTTTTTTTTTTTTTTCCTGTTAGGGAGTTTTAGAAATAGAAAAATTAGGATAAAAAAAAGTTCATAAGAATTATCCAATTTCAGCCCTTTCTAAATTAAATTCAACTCTTTAATAGCTCATTATTTAATAACCCTTTAAAAGCCCGCACTATTTAAATATCAAATGGATAAAATCCTTTTATAAAAAGGCTGGATCAAAGCTTTAAATGAGCCCCTAACCCATTGAACAGGTCTACTCCTCGGTTCCTTACCCAAACATACTCAACATCCAAATATAAAGCTAATTATACTTGATAGTAACCCGATTGTCACCTCAACGAGGGTATCATACCCTCCTTTCTTCATTCTGTCTCCTTCCCTTTCTCACTCTTCAGTCTTCACTCATCCGCCCACCATAATTTCCATTTCCAAATCACCATCTTCGACTCTCTCTGGATCTTCAAGAGAGTGAAAATGGAGAAGAGCTACCAACCTGTTGAAGAAATGAAGATGCTTGTTGGTATGGAAGTTGACGACGAAGAATCTGCTGCTGTTAATTCTACTGATGATGTTAGCTCTTTCATGGATGAGTTCAATCGTTATTGCACTTTGTCCACCCAACAGGTCTTTAATTTTTCCATTTTGTTTTTCTTGATCTTAAAACCCTTGTTTTTATGCATTTTCGTAGAATTTGATCAATTTTCGTTTGATCTGCATGTAATTTTTTGTTTTTACTTTGAATTAGGGTTAATTTTGGTTGATTTGTGTGTTTTATTTGATTGCTTGCAATTGAATTTCCGGGTTTAATTTGTAGTGGTATTAGAGAATGTGCCAATTTCTCTCCGTTTTAAAATTCATACTCGTTAATCAGTAATTTGGGCATAGAATGTAATGTTCATTTGGGAATAGCAGCTAATAATGTGCTATATCAACTGTGTATGGATCGTAGCGGCGTGCTGATTTTTGATATGCCCTGGAGTATAGAGCCTGTAAGCATTTGATAATGTCACTTTTGGGATTGCAATTTGGAGGCGCTAGCATAATTTCCCTCCCAGTAAATTTGTGATTGCATTACAAACTTGTGATTGTATTCTTGGCATATGTGAAAAATAGGCATGTTATAAGTCATTTTCCCTAACTTTGCTTGTTTTTTATGTGACTATGAACCTAAAACTTAGTTTCTTCCATCTTATTTGTAATTTCAAACCTTAAACACTTATAACTAGCTAATATTGGTATGTTATGGGCAAGAATGACTTCATTTGATAAGAAATAAGGAAAATAGGCCTAATTTGTTTGATTTTTCCATGAATATAAACCTAAAACTTAGTTTATTGCTCTTTACTTGTAATTTCAAAGTTTGAACATTTATAATTAGCTAATATTGGTATGTTATGGGCTAAAATGAGTTCATTTGATAAAAAAAAATGAGGAAAATAAGCAAAGTAGAAGTCATTTTGGCCTAATTTTCTTGATTTTTCATGAATATGAACATAAAACTTAGTTTCTTGCCCTTTGCTTGTAGATTCAAACCTTAAACACTTATAACTAGCTAATTTTGGTATTGTACAGGCAATGAGGAGTTCATTTGATAAGAAATGTGAAAAATAGGCAAAGTAGAAGTCATTTTCCCCAAACTTATTTCTTTTTCCATGTATATAAACCTTTAACTTAATTTGTTGGTAGTTGTTATTAAGAACATATTTGATCATCTCATTTATCTGTTGCAGGAGACCTACCAAAATAAATTTGAAGAAGCAAGTAGGCAAGGGATTCAGAAGAGTCCGAATGAGTTGTATTGGGAGACGGTGGGTGGTCACAGTAAGAAGGGTCGTGTTAAGGGACTTGGCCAAAGTGAAGAGTTGTACTACGATAACCAAAAGGGTCGAGTTTTGTTGAATATTTAGAGTGTTGATGGTTGCGCGCTCGCGACCATGAAGAGCGCCCGCGTAAGGTAGGCGCGGCCGCGCAGAGAGCGCGCCTAAACCGCGCACCTCTCTGGAAATCAGCAAATTGGAAGGGTGTGGTTGGCGCACCCGCGCGGCTGGTGGCGCGCCTGCGCGTCCTTGTGGAGCGCCCGCGCTACTGGTCGCGCATAAACCGTGCCCCTCACTACCTTCTTGTGGAAACTCGCATATTTTGGGAGGCGCGCCCGCGCTTCCAGGTGGCGCCCCCGCGCCTCTTGTGTCGCGCCCGCGCCTCCCTGTTTTGCGGTTTTTCCTGACGGTTGAGTCTTTTATTAAAAGACATATTTTTCGTGAAAGTAGATATATAGAAGATTATTTTTCATCTCTCCAAAAAGAATTCTCCACATTCTCTCTCAAATTTCTTGCAAACTTTTGTGAGAAAAACTCTTTCAATTAATCCAATCTTGGTGATTTGATCATCTTTATTTCGATTCAGTGCTAAGAACAAAATTTGCTGTCAATTGTATCTCAAAGAGGATTTTCGGTTTAACCCAAGCACCGTGTGGGGGAAATAAACCTCTTTAGGAAAGTGTGTACACGCCTTTGACAGTGTATCAAGGTACTAGTGTTACGAGACATCGGTTTTCTCATGTTCATGCTTGGAATTAACGGCTTGGAGGAAAGGCAAGTTTGATCATCTTCACACTAGTGTAGTCTTTGTATGTTTTCAGTAATTTCATTGACAATTCAAATACTTGATTGTAATACTTTGTTTAGTATTTAATATTTACAATTTGGAATTGTAATCATATATTTTAAGATTTGTTCCCACACATTGTTTAAGTGTTTTCTTGATTGAAACCGTTGTAAATCCTAACAAGTTTCCGGTTCTTCCCAACAGTACACGCCTTTTCAGATGCAGAATTAGTTTAAACAGATGGTGCAGGATCAGTTTGAACAGAGGGTGCAGGATATGCGGACTGAATTGGAGGCTGAGATGCAAACCCGATTGGCGGCCCATTTGGTCAAAATAGAGAGGAGAAATAAGGAGTCGATGGATGAGATGTTGAGTCGCATGTCCAAATTAAACATCCCCAATGCTATGCGAACTGAAATGCAAACTAAATGGAGGCCGAGATGCAAACTCAATTGGCGGCCTATATGGCCGAAATGGAGAGGGGAAACAAGGAGTAGTTGGATGAGATATTGAGTCGCAAGTTCGGAGTCAGCAACCCCAATGCTTGTTCTACCATTCATTGAGACCCCATAGACGACCCGGGTAGTGGCTTAAGATAGGATTCCCCAAATGTTGTGTAGCTTAGCTAGTTCTATCCTTTATTAGGTTGTGTAATTTTTTATACTAGTATTTTACACTAGTAACTCAATTTCCGCAGTAATTTCAAATGCGTATTTTGCTTAGTCCACGCATTTCTAAATTTTAGAATGTGTATTTATGGAGGCTAAAAATAGGTTATGTTATGGGCAGGTATACAGGTTGAATAGGAAACAAAAGGGGAAAAAAATTTGTCGGCAAAACCACAGTTTTTGGCGGATTTTTTCCACGGATTTTATAATTCGCCGTAGATCTGCGAAGGAAAATTCCCTCGCAAATCTCCGACGGGATGAAAATTCCGTCGAAAACTGCCGCAGTTCCGATGGGATTTATCCACCGGAAATTCCGTCAAAGAAAGGCTTTTCGATGGAATTTCTATCTGAAAATGTTAACTTTCCGAAAAGGTCATTTCTGACAACAAATTTCCGATGGAATATGTAGGAAAGCTTTTTTCCGACGGAATATCAGTTTTTCCCGACAGATTAATTCCGTAAAAAATAACCCTTTTTCTTGTAGTAAATTCTTGTAATGTAAATTAGATTTGTTGTGAATATGCTTTGACTTTTCTTATGTAATTAGTGCTATGTATTTTCCAAGTGCACACAATCATTTGACCACGGGGGGGACCCCCGGATGGTCTAGCAGCAGGTTTTAGAACTTTATGTAATGTCATTCATATGTAATTTAATATAGGAAAAATGGAAAGGAATATTCCCACCTTTGTCATTTTTGCTCAAAATAATTTCACCTTTGAGTAATCTTGAATCAATCCCAACTTTGATCTCATTTGCTCAAAATAGTCCTTTGACCGGTTTGTCAAATTGGTAACTAATTGAAAAGGGTAACTTTTCACGTGTCTCATTTTAATTGGTCCTTTTTTTTTTTGTAATTATTTCAAAAAACAAAATTAAAAAAAAAAACTCCCCTTCCCAATCCCTCACCAATCTTCACTGCCGAAGCATTCCCCTCTCCCCACCTCGCCTTCCCCGTCGACAACAACTCCCTTTCCCTTTCCCTTTCCCGCAATAGAAACGGTGGAGGTAGGTTTCGAAGTGCCTGCAAGGGTGGGATTTCGAACTAGGGTGGGGGTATTTGGTCCGATGCGTCGGTTTACGGGGTCTGGTGGGGGTGGGTTTTGGTTTAGCGGAGTGAAAAACAAGTGAGAAGGGATGGGATTTTAGGGTGGGGACGAGGGTGGAGGTGGTTATTGCATGCCTGTGTGAGTGAGGGTTTCGGTATGGTTTTGAATAATGGTGGGGGTGGGTCTCCGCCGGTTTAGGGGTTGGTGGGGTTTCAGGTTGGTGGTTTTGGGGTAGGGGTTTCAATATGGTGCCATGGAGGTTCAGTGGGGTGGGGTCAAGAGGGGTTAGGATTTTAGGATTGTAATGTGGTGGTGATCAGGTGGTGGTCATAGAGGGTAGGTGGCGATCATGGCGGGTTATTCAAAGAAGAAGATGGTGAGGCGGAAGAGAGAGAATAAAGAATAAAATTATTATATATAAAAAAAATTAACTTGTTCAACAAGTTTTAGGTAAAAATGTTTGTTTTGAGATGATGGTGTTAAAAAGTGAGATTGTTTCTAGATTTTGAAAAGGTGAGGTTATTTTGAGCAGAGTGACAAAGGTAATGTTATTGTTTTCTATTTTTCCTTCAATATATTAGGTATGTATATGACTATATGTAAGATGAAGATTTGAAGTGTTGATCTCTTTTGTCATTTTAGAATAACAAGTCATATCTTTCATGTCATGCTCATCATCTTATACGATTTTAAGCATTACCATCATTTTATTATTGTAAAACCAAATAATAATAACTTATTAAAGTATCTTTTTATAATGCATAGTCTGAAAAATGCATTCAATATTATGTCAAATTTAACAATGATTAACCATCTCACTAATTAGTACTCCCTCTATCCTTTATTTTTTTCTCCATAAACTGATGTTACTTTATTAATTTTTGGTTTGAAAAATATGATGAGAGAGAAAATTGGTGGGGTTAATGGGGAGGTTGTGAGGGTAAAGGCGTGGTCTCATATGTCCAAAAATAGAATGGGGCAAAATTTAAGGGACAGACTAAAAAGAAAAGTGGGCCAAAATTTAAGGAACGGACTAAAAAGAAAAGTGGTGCAAAAAAATAAGAGACGAAGGGAGTATTATATAAAAAAAAATATTAATAATTTAGATAACAGTACTTACAAGATTGATACATCTTCAAACAAGAGTTGACCTAGCTTATTCAACTATACCCAACTCAAAAATACCTTTTACAACATATGTATTGCTTTCGTTCCCATGACATGACCTCAATGTTCACCAAAGATCAAACCTTCCAAAGAAAAAGATTTCAAGAAAATTGGCCAAACTCACTATCTGACTATCACTCTATAACTATCTCTAATCCGATAAGTCTGATACAACAGAATGCTACACATGATACATGAGCAAGAACCAATAACCCGTCCTTTTATAACCCGTCCTTTATATCATAGTCTTAGTTCCTTACCCAAACACTATCAACATCCTAATATAAAGCAAATTATACTCGATCCAAATAACCCGTTTGTGACCTCAACGAGGGGCGTGAGGCCTGACCCAAGACTTGACGTAAGGCCTCAATAATTGTTTCGTACACCCGGGTGTACCATGCGCATGGTACACCCGGAAGAACATCACTCTATGAATAAAATAACATTACCTATAAATAGAAAAACATTACATATAAATTAAAGAACATTGCCTATAAATAAAAGAACATTACTTATAAAAAAAAAAAATCGTAGTTATAATAATATTATACATTACAAACTAACATAAAGTACATAAAAAAGAACGTTACATATAAAATAAAGAACACTACATACAATAAAAGAACATAGCTTAAAAATAAAATAACATTACATATAAATATAAAAGAACATAACGTTACATATAAATAATAGAAAAATGCTACTATCCAAACCCATGGAAGAAGATGATGAACAACAATATTAGTGCCAAAAATTCAAAAAATCAAGTAATTTCATGATAATAAAGCTTTATATGAACCATAAACATTATCACAAAACACAAAATATAGGTAAAAATAACAAACAAAGAGAGAGTTCACTATTGAAGCGCAACCTAGGGTTTCATATTCATGAAGTACAACAAAGATGAACAAAGAAAGAGAAAGCATACCTCAAATGAGTAGAAAACCATTGTAAAGTGAATTAATAGTGAAAATCAAGCAAGTTGAATACTCAATTGCAAGGTTTTTAGCCAAAATAAAAAATACCCAAAATTCTCAAATAATGAAAAATCCGAAAATTTGGTTGTGAAATTCGGATTTTGGAGTGTAAAATTTAGTATAAATGTGTTTGTGAGTGATAAAAAATGCACATAAAAACTATAAAAATCAAGAAATAAAATGAAAGAAGAAGTTAGAGGGAGAGGAGAGAAAGTATCAAAGAGAGAGAAAATAAAATGAACATTACATATAAAATAAAGAATATTACATATAAATAAGGTTTTATAAAAAAAAAACATTACATGTAAATAAAAGAACATTAAATTTGTCCTTATATTTTTTTATTTATATATAATGTATTTCCGATTATATCATACACGTGATACATCCCCTCTACCATATTATTTTCATAAGGCCTAACTTACAAGCAAATTGTCACTCTCCCCGTAAACTAACATTTTACTCTTTCTCCTCTTTTCTTCATTCTCTCTCCTTCCCTTTCTCACTCTTCAGTCTTCACTCATCCACCCACCATAATTTCCGTTTCCAATTTCCAGATTTCTTGACCACCATTTTCTACTTTCTCTGGATCTCCAAGAGAGAGAAAGAGAGTGAAAATGGAGAGATTAAGCGAAGCATTTGATAAGGTGAAGAGCTATCAACCTGTTGAAAAAATGAAGATGCTTGTTGGTATGGAGGTTTACGATGAAGAATCTGCTGCTGTTAATTCTGCTGTTGATGATAGCTCTTTCATGGATGAGTTCAATCGTAATTGCACTTTGTCCACCAAACAGGTCTCTAATTTTCCGATTTTGTTTTTCTTGATCTTAAAACCCTTGTTTTTTGTGTATTATCATGGAATTTGATTAAATTTAGTTTGATCTGCACTTTATCTTTGTTTTTCTTTGAATTAGGGTTAATTTTGGGTGATTTGTGTGCTTTATTGAGTTTTTATTTGATTGTTTACTCCGATTGCAAATGAATTTTTGGGTTTAATTTGGAGAGGTATTAGAGCATGCGCCAATTTCTCTCTCTATTAGAATTGATACTCGCTAATCAGTAGTTTGGGCATAGAATGTAATGTTCATTTGGGAATAGCAGCTAATAATGTGCTATATCTGGTCTGAGTAGAGATGATGGAGTTCTGTCATTCAACTGTGTATGGATCGTGCGGCGAGCTGTGTGCCCTGGAGTATAGAGCCTATGAGCATATGAGTATATGACAATGTGACTTGGGAGTACAATTTGGAGCCGCCAGCATAATATCCCTCCGTAAAGTTATGAATGCATTGTAAACTTGTGATTGTATTAATGCGTTATAGATACCAGCTCATTGCAATTGTTTCTGAGCTTTGCTAGTTTCTCAGGCCTTAATATGTAGAGTTTTTGGTTGGGACTTGGGAGTTGGTGGCACGTGGTTTTCAGGCTATTGTTATGTTACCATACAAATTACAATTGGATAGGTTGATGTGCATCTCTTCAGAACATAATATATATCTAGAGGTGTGGAGCTATAAAAGGAATTAGACCTTATAGAAACAGCTAGTGAACATGCAAAAATGTTATATTGCCATGCTTTTTGATATGTTCCCAAGAATTTCAACTGCTTTTGTGGATCCTGTATTCCTATTTGCATACTACAATTCAGTTTGCAAAACTCGAGGCCATCTCAAATAATAGTTTTAATGGGGGATGAACTGGAGTTTTGTACTTGTATTATGTTATAGGCTCTTCCACCTTTGAGCTACTTTTGAGGTTCATCTATTTGCAAAGACTTATGTCAACTTGTTTAGGAGCTAGGCACCACCTCTTTGAGTTATCATGCTTGTTGGTGGTTAACAAGGTCGACACTATTTTATTGCCTGACAAGGGGAGAAAATAAAAATGAATAATATAGTGTGATGATTTTCCATTAATCAATCAATCAATAATATGAATATACTATTTTTATTACTTTTCTATCTTGGGACAAAAAGGCTTCCATTCATCCATTCCGTTATGAATGAACAATTGTATGCACACAAATTAAAGTCAACATTGATTGATTGGTGTTAAGTAACAAACACAACACCAATATAGTATAGTATAATGGTCTAACCAACATCATAATGGAATGTTATGGTAAGTAATGAATTTAGGAATAATCAACAACACCAATGAAGATGAAGAACTTCATAGACCTTAATAGACCTTGAAATGCCAAGTTGGTTATATTAATATCCATCTCTTGCAGCTCTTCACTACCATAGCCGTATAGATGAACCAAACTCATCCTCGGGAATTTTTAAGACATATCAGTAGGCTTGTTATGTGCCAAACCAACTTATATGACCATGATACCCCACGTCTTCACTTCAATTTAAATTTTTTTTTTCGCAAAGTTGCCCAAACAAGTGAATTATTGCCTTTAAATTTGGACAATTTTCAACTTTTTAGAAAAGGAAATAGGTCGGGGTGGTACCCATGGACCCCAAGACACTCTAGGAGCCCATTTGGGTGGTTGGAACCATGCATTTTGCCTTTAAACTGCCAATTTTTCCGTTTATGACTAACACCTCCCTTCATTAATTCAAGGTCACCACAAGACTTTATATGGCTAACTAGTGGACATATATGGTTCCAAACAACATTCATACAATCTCGAGACTTTTCTACACTGTATCACAAAACTTCCAAAATTGGTCTGATTTCGTGGATTATAATCTTCCGTATTGGACAATTTTGAACTTTTTTGGACCCGGAAGTAAAATTGGTCAAAGTTCCTCTCATGAACCCCACGACACCTTGAGAGGCCATTATGATGGTTGGAACCATCTGTTTTGCCTTTAAATTGTTAATTTAGCAATTTACATACACACCTCTATTAATTAACTCAAGGCCACCGCAAGCCTTTATATGACTGACTAGTGGTCATACAAGGGTCCGAACAATATTATATGATCCTAGGATGTATCCCCTGCTATCTTGAGATTTTTCTACATTGGGTCCTGAAACCTTCAAAATTGGTCCAAAAGCGTGGATTATAGCCTTCGGTTTTGGATATTTTCTGACGTTTCCGGACCCGGAAAGGAAAAAAGTTTGGGGTGTTTCCCATGGACCCACAACATTTCGGGAGACGATTTGAGTGGTTAAAACCTTCCACTTTGCTTTTGAATAGTCAATATGGCTCTTTTTGTATATACCTCCTCTCATTGGCTAAAGGTCACCATGGGCCTTTGTGTGATCAACTAATGGCTTGTAGAGTAATGGTGGGATATTAACTTTCAAAATCTGATAGCAACTTATGATCTTTGAGTCCCTCATTAATCTTATTGAAAGGGTAAGGGTGTGCTTGACTTGAAGTTTATATAGATGTGTAGTTGTGTAGGCTTTCCTACCTCTTGAGCTAGCTTTTGTGATTGCAATGTCCTTAGAGACATATATTGCTCCCTTTATAGAATTCACGGGTTTGTTGGTGGAAAAAGAAAACTTGTTTGATACAGAGTACTTTTGTAAATTTAGGTGTATTTAAAAATTCATAAGTCCCAGATATGTGGATTGAAGTGCCTGTTGAGTGAATTGCCATGATCAGTGTCTGAATAGGCCTGTATAGAATGTATGATTTAGGAATATTAGGATTATGTTAAAACTTAAATATGGGCAACTGGTACCTAGGATCTGCTTGCTCAATTTCATTTTCAGCCATTTGGACATAAGTTGGCATTTCTTGATGCCTAATGGACTATTAATTTACAATCGTCATCACCAATTTTTATCACACCGAAGCAACAGAAGAGGTATATTGTTGTGAGTTTACTTTTGAAGCATTTCATTAGTCAAGGAAATTCCATTACACTTGCCAGCATATATGCCAAAATAGTTGTTTACACATCTCTTGGTTGGTGGTGGAGGGATCTTTACATTACTGTTATAGTGGGCTAACTAATGATCTATCACCAGAGTTTGAAGAAAAGAACAGGGGTTCAAATCATCAAACATCAAACACTGTTGGACATGCTACTAAGGAAACTGTCCGCAACTCCGCATACTAATTATAAATTGAAGGGAAGGGGAGGTTATGCACTATTGCTGTTTGGATATGTTAGAACCTAGATATCTGTAGAATCCTCATTTGAATCCCTCTAACGGTGCGAGGGTTGGAGCAAGTCATGTCATTCTTCTCCTGCCACCTCTATCCTCTTCCTTATTCCTAACTTTCCATCATTTGTTACCATCTATTTTATTTAACAATTTTTTTTTCCTATTTTGATGTCAATGCTACCTTGTGCCTTTTTTTTTTTTTTTTTTTTTTTTTGTGGTTTAGCTAATTAACTATTGCTTTGTCTTCGTTTTCTTTCTGCAGAGAATTCAAGGCTTTGCTATATGCTTTGTTGCTGGGTTGACTTGTACATTTTTGGTAAGTGTGGGATTGGCACAAATCTTTGTTTGATATTTGGTTACTTGTTATAGGTTTCAAAATTCCAATATTCCATTAGATCAGGAGCACAGTTCAATTTGTTTAATATAAGTATGTATTCTCTTTTTTCATATTATTCTGGAGTCCGGATGCTGAATGCCTCTACCTTCACTTACAGCTTCTTAAGAAATAAGCAACACAATTTTGAATTAAAGTAAAAACAGTCAATTAGTTGAGGACTCTTGAATTTTGTTGCCTATTTTGCAATGTTGCCATGAACTTTATAAAAGGATGTAGATTCGTTTATGGTTGAGCATTATTTTAGTTACTCCTGCCTTGAATATAAGTTGAGAACCATATTCTTTGCCTTGTTCCTTCACATCTCCAGTACACTCTGCAGTAACATAAGAAAGAAAAGGATTGTGGAAAGAAAAGGATGGGGCATTATCTAGACTCCCCAATTGTGCTCTTCATTTCTGGCAGTCTTGATAGGCATGTAGGTTATCTGTCTTTCACTCGTTGGAGCGTTAAGTCAACACAGATGATCCTTCTTAGCTGCTGATCACTTGCGTAATAATTATCTAATAATTATGTAAAAAAAAACTGAAAACAGTAAAATTAGGATTCACTCTGCACTATGTTGCATACATGCAAATTGGATATGGATGCCCTTAAGGATATCAGTGGACATGGCTACTGCAAAGATCGTAAGAACTTGATCCCATTTTAGCAATGAAAATAAATAAACCATAGAACTACTATGCTGTGTTTTTGTTTTGTTTTTTTTTTAATTTTTTTTTATTTATATTTTTATTTTAAATGTTATTACACTATGGAGACAAGTTTTTCTTGACATTAATAATTCTGAACACTACGTCTTTACTATGCAGTCCATGCTTGTGTTCTTCAATCCGATCAAGTTTGGTATCGCTTTTACCCTTGGAAATTTGCTTGCTATTGGGAGGTATGTATTTATTTCTTTTTTAGGTTGTTGTTATACCTGTGTATTTATTTTTATTTCTTAAGTTTCCATCTCTCCTGAAATATTTTTTTTTTAAGAAAAAAAGGTTTCTAGTCATGTGTTTTCTCCTTTTGAGTTTGAGATGATAGATCCATCAGCTGGCTTAATCTGATGACCTAATAGTTGGACATTTCGGGGTTAGAAATACTTATTTTTCTGACCAGAGTTTATGTTTGATTTCTTATGTTGGATATTGTGTGGCAGCACAGCTTTCCTTATTGGCCCAAAAAGGCAAGTGGCAATGATGCTTGATCCTGTGCGCATATATGCAACTGCCTTATATCTTGCAAGCATGATTATTGCACTGTTTTGCGCTCTCTATGTAAGCATCATATGTATTTCATCATATATTGTACTTTGATTCTTCTCTTTATTTTCCATCTCCGTGGTTTCTGATATAATTATGCTGTGCTTGATCACTTTGGGCAGGTTCATAACAAGCTATTGACACTCTTGGCAATCACTTTGGAGTTTGGTGCTCTAACTTGGTATGTCTAAAAACTCTAACCTAGGATAAAATTGTGTTATGGGCCTTTTGAATATTGAAGACCAGTGTGTTTATTCATGCTAACATAGTTTAGGTAATCCAAGGGTATTCAGAGATATGTGTCAAAAAATCAACTTCCTTCTCTTCTCCTTTCAATGCTCACTTTCTTTCTTTAGCCATTCCCTTTTCTATCCTCTTCAGTTGAAGTAGACAGGATGTACACAAACCAATCCCTACCCACAAGAGTTGTCGCCCTTTTTTTTCCCCCCAACTGTTGCTTACAGTGTCTTGTAAATCTACTCTATATTTGCAGGTACAGTTTGAGTTACATCCCATTTGCCAGGTCCATGGTCAGCCGAGTCTTGGTCTCTTGCTTTGACACTGAATTTTAGCTTGGAATATGGTTGCAAACCTGATAGAATGGAAATCCTTTTGTAGAAAAGAGAGATATAGAGAACTGTTGTGCTGCTATCGATCATATAAGGTGCCCTGACAGGCTGACACCCCTCGGAAAATCAGTTGAGCTACCACAATCTATGTCAATGTATATAAAAGGCTTGTAGAATCTTGTCTTGTAGAAAAATTAGTGAGTATAACCTTCACTTAAACTTAAGTTCTTCATTGTATTCATGCTTTGTGTTGTGTATTTCCGCTGTTATCAATTCAATACCCTTTTTTTTTTGACGAGCAATTCAATACCATTTTGGTTAAAGGTTTTTAACTTCAATAGTTCAATGGATAAATTTTTTTTTTTTTTTTTTTTTTTTTTTTTTTTTTTTTTTTTTTCCGATTCAGAAGAGGTTAACTGGTAACCGAAAAAGGGGAAAATACAAACAAATAAGCAAAAGCAGAAATCAAAAATAAAAAGAGACTAAATTATGGAGGGATTAGGCGTGGTAAAGCCACACCCCTAGGGTCCTCCTCTAAGATACGACCTAATTCCGATGGAACCACAGTGATAATAATCAATTGAGAGTCCAAAGTGACTCCACGGTTGGCCAACCAATCCGCCGCTCTATTTCCCTCTCGATACACATGTGCTACCTTGATTTGCCATGCCGTCTCATTAAGTAACTTCTGACAGTATTGAATAGCTTGGCTATTTTCCCCTCGTATTGCTTCGTGTTGCCTTAGAGCTTGCACACAGGTCAGACTATCCAGTTGAACTTCCAGCTTTGAGATTAGAAGGTTCTTAGCTAGTTCCAGACCTCTCATGAGAGCATGCACTTCTGCTTTGAATGCTGAACATACTCCAAAGTTTGCTGCGAATGCTGATATGAAATGGCCATCATGGTCTCGAATAATTCCACCACCCCCTGCAAGACCTGGGCTCCCCTTTGCTGCCCCATCGCAACTCAAGGCATACCATCCAGAATCACTTCTTCTATAGTCTAGCTACGTTGTCATTTATCACTTCTTGGTTCTTACTTTTTTGCCATTCGAGCACCCAGAAGTGCATAGTTTTCGTTCTCCAATCGCGCAAGCCATCAGCTGTGATTTCAAATGTTTTAATGTTGGGAAACTGTCAAACTGATTTACACCTTGGTCTTGGCGTTATAGTTAAACACAGACTAAATAAATACTCCCTCAAAAATTTTTACAAAAAAATGGAAAAAAAAAAAAATCTCTCTTACACTCCCTAAAAAAAAGAAGGAAAAAAAAAAAATTCTCTCTAATTAATACGCAGTATTTATTAATTTTTTTTTTTGTTTTGAAGGCATTTATTAATTATTTTGTATATAGCTCTCGGCAACGAATATACGAAAGTTTCCTTTTGATTAGAAAAATATTTCTTAGTAACATTTAGGGAAAATAAAGATTTACTAGTGGTAGATCAGCTAATAATATACAGTTAACAAGAATAATATTTCTTAATAAAATTTAGGGAAAATAAAGATTTACTAGTGGTAGATCAGCTAATAATATACAGTTAACAAGAATAATATTTCTTAATAAAATTTAGGGAAAATAAAGATTTACTAGTGGTAGATCAGCTAATAATATACAGTTAACAAGAATAATATTTCTTAATAAAATTTAGGGAAAATAAAGATTTACTAGTGGTAGATCAGCTAATAATATACAGTTAACAAGAATAATATTTCTTAATAAAATTTAGGGAAAATAAAGATTTACTAGTGGTAGATCAGCTAATAATATACAGTTAACAAGAATAATATTTCTTAATAAAATTTAGGGAAATTAAATATTAACTAGTGGTAGATCAGCTAATAATATACATTATTAACAAGACTGCTATTAATGTAATAGAATGGCAAACTATAGATTATTGTAATAACGGAGTATTTTTTATGGAGTAGGTTTCAAAATATACTCTAGTAATGGGAATCATAGGTTTACCATATCTATGTGATACTACGCAATAACGATTTAAATAATTTGTTAACAAAATTTTCCAATTCATCATTCGCAAAATATTTATGGTCAAAATTTGCTTAAAATCAGAAAAAGTAATGTGATGGACTGATGGTAATTAATTATTTACAAAAGCTAGTAAAAGTTCACCATATAAATGGAAAATTAAAATATATGATTACTCTATAACTAAAAATCTTCTCATAATAATAAATAATAATGGCACATGCAATATAAGAGAAAACATTGTGATAATATCTTCACCAAAATTAAATTGATTTGATTTGATTTGACCAACCTCTGCTAACCTTTATATAGTAAATACTAAATACTTTCTTATTACTATGTAAATAGATGTTCTCAGTTCACATATAAATAATACTCTGTACTTTATAGTAAACTCCTAAGTAATTCAAAATTATAAATTAGTCGTAAGGCTTTAACTATCAACTTAAGGTTTCGGATCTCTTGATAAATTTATCATGGCGTGTGAAGCGACATACAAGCAGTCAGGAAAAAGTTTTTCGTTTCCACAATATTATTTTTGGGAGAATATGCATGACAATTTGAGTGAAGAACAAAAGGAATAAATTAAGATGAATAAATCAACAGAGGTAAAAGTGCATGATACAGAGACAGGTTATGTTACTGATATGAACTTGCAGTTGCAAGGTGGAAAGGGCACCTCTCGTTGCTACTTACATGTTCCTAATGAATATGTTGAGCGTAGGAAAATTGAAGATGGTGACAAAATCAAGCTTTCTTTTAATAATAATAAGATAAATATTTCATTTACTTTTAGAGAATTTGTTTAGCTATATATAAAAATCTATGTTTTATAGATATTTGAATAAGTCATGAATTATACTAATAAAGATTAAATTTTTTGTTTTATTCTCTTACTATATACAAAGTATAAAAAGTATACATGACTATGTTTTTTTTTTTTTTTTTTTTTTGACGGGTACATGAACGTATCTTAAGGCATAGTTGATGGCATTAACTATGAGATGGTTGATCATCCTTTAATTTGTTACGAAGTATTTTATAAGCATACGTAGAAATCTAGAGCTTACTAGATTTCGACTAATTCAGATTTGAGCCGAGTCATTGGGGGGAATTCTCAGCTCCCAACAAGTGATAAATTTTAAGATGGTCGATTATCCTTTAAATTAATTATCGTTATATAAATTGTCAATCTTTCTCATAGTCATGCTAGTCGTGGTTCTTGATTCATGAACAATAAAAGCTAAACTAAGCATTGTTCTTGTCTTTGAAATATAATTAATTGAGAGCATTCAACTACGGATTATATGAATTTCATAAACAATAAGGTCTTAGAAGACTCATACGCAAAGCAAAAGCTTTTTTGCACTTTTGGTTGCTCTTTTTGACCTAAATGCACCATTAAGAGGTTAAAGAAGAGCACAGCAACCTCAAATTAAAGCATACTTTTGTCTATTTCATGCCTTTTAAGCAACATCTTAGTAGCAATCTAATCTTAATTTATGTATAGTTTGATTAATTATGTTTTTGAGTCCAATATGTCTAATCTCAAATAAATGAATCATGCATTATTTAGTTCCCTAATCAAATCACACTAGAATGAGACAATGTATGTATATCTACATCATTATTCCACGACAAAATAATAATTCTAGAAATAATAGTCCAAATAATCACAAGTTTGGACACAAAAATTCTTAAATTTTGTTTTAACTAAGGTTAATTAAATCTCTAGATATGGGTCATATTAAGCTTAATTAGCGTGGCTCAATAACCTCGATTTGAAATAACACAAACTCAAGCTTGAAAATTACAAACCTGTCCTAACTCTAAACTCAACTTGAGTTGGATTAACAAGTAACCCTTTTTTTTTTTTAGGAAAAACAAGTAACCTTAAAAACAAGTTGAATATTGGATTACAACATTTACATAGCTAATGTAAATGAAACCCTAAGACGGAGTAATTTTTATGTACAGAACATATAGACATTCTCAACAATGAAGACAACAAACACTCTGTAGCACAGCTTAATGTGTAACAATTAATTTAACATTACACTTTACATTTCATGTTCCTTTAGAGATCTCACATAAATTTGCTTGTCAAAGAGCAATAATATACATGCATCAGTTTTCACCAAAAAAATAAAATAAAATATACATATATGCATTAGTAACATTACCTTTGCAAGTATCTCTTGGAATATCATGCTGTTACATCGAAATAATATACTCTATATGTAAGAGAACCTAAATGGTTACACTGTAATCACATAGTACGAACTACATAATACGAACTAGTAAGTATTAGATGAAATCGTTGTACACTAATTTTCATAGTAAATTAGTAGACACTATGAAAGGAACTAGTCACTTAATTGCACTATTAGTTTCTGCTTGAAAGTTCATCAAGCTGTCAATAACAACAGTATATGAGCAATCATATGTAAGAAACGTTCACTTATGAGTCCTTGTTAAGGGAAAACAACTTTCAAGTCGGTGGTAGAAACTCAGTAAGCTATAATATGACATAATGTACAAAAATTATGTTTATCTATCTTGTTGATTGGAATAAACTACAATGGCAACATAAAGATTAGCTATCTTGATCACATAATATTTTTTTTTTTTTTTTTTTTTTTTTTTTTGAATAATGATCAGATAATATATAAGTACTTATAAGATTGTTAGTAAAATGTTATTCAAAACGATACACATATATAACATATATAGGTCCAACACTTGAGAAGTCCAATGATGCACCACATTTAAGGCAACAATAAACTAATACTTTGTATAATTACTCACTCAAATGTACTTTTAAAAATCTTTTGTTAGACTTCAATTTACCGTTCAACCAAACACACTTCACCTTAACTATTTAAAACTCAGTTTTACAGAATATTATTTTTTAAAGTAAAGAGAAAAAGACCTAACTATACAAGAAAAGATGGTGCAAAGAAAAAAAAAAAAAACAAGAAAAAAGAAGCAGGATTGACAAAGTGGCACATTGTTGCGCCTCTATAGACCTAGTGCATGCTAATGATAACTAATATTACAAGCAAAGCAAAGAAGTCTCCTACTCTCATATAAAACTATTTCATCTATACCAGCTATTTATATCTAAGACAACATAAAACAATATAGTATAGATATAAGTGTACTTGTAGTTAGTTACCAAGTAATAAGTACTTCGTATATATATATATACAAACCCAATTCAAAACCATATATTAATAATCACTTCCATTAATTTCTTCTTCAGTTTTTATACATGTTCAATTATCCATATACAAAACCAGCTTTTGCATTATTACATCAAATTCATATATCTTGTTATTAGAGCATACGAGAGAAAGTTATGAGTGACTCAAGCACTCAAGCAGGTGATGAACACAACACTATTCTAACTACAAAGAAATATGAAAATGGTCGTAGCAATTCCAAAGAGATGATGATACTGTACAAGGAATGCCTTAAGAATCATGCAGCTTCCCTTGGATCCCACTCCACCGATGGTTGTGGCGAGTTTATGCCCCCCTCCGGTGACAACGACGCTTTTCTGTGCTCAGCATGCGGCTGCCACCGCAACTTCCATCGTAAGGAGGAGGTGGAGGTAGCCCACGTAGGCAGCAACAATTATACTTATTTATCATATTACCACTACCAGCGTAATACTAGTAATATTACCAAAAATCAAGTACAAGAATGTCATCAAGATAAGGTTACTGCCCTAACAGCAAGGCACGGGTCCCACAATAGTCCTAGTCTAAATGTGGGGCCCGCGGCCACGCCATCAGAGAATGATGGGGAACAAATAATGGTAGAAGGGATGAAAATGAGTAAGAAGAGACATAGGACTAGATTTACAAATGAACAAAAAGAGAAAATGTTGGGATTTGCTCAAAAGACAAATTGGAAGATACAAAGGGTGGATGAAGGATTAGTGCAACAATTTTGCCAAGAGGTTGGGATTAAGAGGAGAGTGCTTAAGATTTGGATGCACAATAACAAGTACCTTTTTGTTAAGAAAGGCACTAACTCTACTCTTAATGATCATGATGCTAGTGATTCCTCTGATAAATTAAATGAGTAAGGCTACTTGGTTCTTTAATGGGTTAAATCATTCTACTTTCTAACTTAGCTTAGAATTCTTTCTTTTAATTACCATCTAGAATCCTTGTCACTCTTTTTTATGCTATTATATTATCTAGATGTTTTGTCTATAAATAAGATAGTTCAAAATGATTTTGTTATTTGAGTGATAGAGGGAGTATACGATACTTGCAAGTTATCGACTTTTAATTTCTTCCTTCATAATATCAATTATTTTGGAATTACTCAAGTTAATGTACGTGTGAATATATACACATGCTATCAATTTTAACACATTGTTAAATTTCCTAGATAATCATGAATTTTTGTATTCTCGAGTAGTTTTTTTCAACATCCGTGAGCCCTAAAAATTAAATCTTTCAGAAAGTGGGAATTAATGTTAACTTATTTAACAGGGAATTGAAAAATATTGATTCTCAGCTTGTTTTTTCAAAAATATACATATAATATACAAGTAGATGAAATGTGGAGAAAATTTGGGGAAATTTGACGGATAATTGGAAACACAGATTATGGAATTCAGTCCAAAAAAATTCAAAAAATGAAAAACTTTAATTTGCCATCACTCTTTTTTTTCTTTCGAAAAAAACAAGTGACCATGTACTGAAATTGATCTATAATGACTTACATTTATAATATTGCATCACAATAGAAACCATCTTTTTACAGCAATAGTTACAGAAAAGATCCTGAGACCAGAGAGGAACTATTTCTTACAAAACCCCTCTGCTCATGGCAAAAATTCCTCACTAAGACAAATTTACCACAATCTCAGCGTACATGAAACATAGCTTCTTCTTGCCTATTCCCTTTTGTTTACTACTCATTTACATTTGAAACCGACATCCGTGGAAGCTTTTCTGCTTCTGTAAACATGATCAATATCTTGATATAGCTCAAAATATGACAGTATTCACCAATTGCCAAATTTACCTTCACCTGCTTCACCACTATTGAGCATTTTCGGCATTATCATTTTCCTGTCTAGAAGAATCTGTATAAAACTGGGTTTGATCCCTCATATCTCTAAACATGGAAAAAAAGGAGTTGAGGCTTTCAGAAGGTGCTCCTCCAAGAATCCATAGCAACAACGAGCTAAAGGAATTCATATTTCCCGGGTTTTGACCAGCTTCTGGTTGCCGAAGGTCATGTTCAGGGATTGGAAGAGGTTCTTCCCCCATATTTTCATTTTGCTGATTTGCATTTCCCAATTGTTCTTGAAGCCCGGGAACTGCTGCCTGTGCATGAGGCGGCATTGGAACATTACCACCAGGCCTAAGCACTGAGACCCCAGGACCAGAAGCATCCTCCATATCGGCTGGACCAGGATTTCTTGTATTCAACCGGGTGATGTGCAGCGTAGAGGCATATACAGTAGAGGAGGTTATATGGAAATCTGGGTGCTGCTGCATATGTGAACGACGGCTTTGCAAAAACCTTTGTAAAGCAGGGACCTGGACTTAAAAAAAATATATATTTATATATAACTAAATCCAAGTATGGAAATAAGAAGCAGCTACAAAATGCAAGAGACTAGAAATTATAAGGCGTATAACAATATAAGCATAGCAGATTGAAATTAAGCCTAAACCCCAAGGGCTACCTTTAATTTCATTGTCCATAGACTCCATACGGCCATATTGCTGCATGAATACACATTTGGTACAACACACACATCTACGAATTTGTTAAAAATTTAGATGCTCCCTTCAACCTATCTGGTATTTTATAGCACGTGCATTCAATGCGTAGTTCTCAAATTTTGGCCCTGAAGCCTACTCACTCACCCACTTTTTCACTCTACTTTTTGTCGCTTTTTTTTCTGTGAATAGTAGACGTTAACTCTTTTAGGGAACGGTTAGAGTAGTTAAGAGAGACAAGCACATAACTATGACAAAGAACAGTATATTATGGTTTCAAAGATTATTATGTCATCATGTTCACATATTAGCTCTAGGCTCCAGAAGGCATCATATATTATTTACCTCAAAATTGTTCCAGAAATACAGGATAAGATGCATCATACATGCTGCAGTTGTAGATAAGGCCAAGTACGAAAAACCTGCAAGAAACAAGAGTGCATTAAACAAAACTAAAGATAGGGGATATGGGAAAATTAATAAGTATATACAGGTAATCATACCATATGCATATGAGAAGAAGTAAATGTGGAACACCAAGAAATAGAGTAAGAAAAAGCGTGGAAAGAACTTCATTGATATTGGCGTACGAACACTACAAAAGCCCAAAAAAAGTTCAGATGGTTAAGGTCACAGAATAAAGTAAAGAAAAATACGAGCGACAGAGCATATAAATTCCTGAAAATTTGCTACGAGGGAAGAAGGACGAAGACTGGTAGCAAACAACATTAGACTTACCTAATAAGGGTAAAAAGCTCGCACAGCCATACCAATATCAACACCATGAAAGCCAGTAATTGGTCATCATAAAATTCAAACAGAAAAAATAGGATGCCTATCATGATCTGTAATGTTAAATGAAATCCATCAGCAGCAAATAGAAATGAACATATTCAAGGATTGAGAATTCTATGTACATTATAATAAGCAGCATCCTTACAGGCACAAAGACAAGAGATTCAATGACATGAACAAATATCAGCTGGAATGTCGGAAGTCGATGACGCGCATGGTGTTGAAGCTGCACTGCATTCATATTGGAGAAAAAAAATTTAAGTGATTGTTACCTATCAGCCATGCCCAAGGGCCTTAAATATTGAATCAAAGAGGAAAGAGCCAAAAGTACAGTAGTGGCAATTCTGAACCCAAAGTTTTTAAAATTTCTAGTCAATCTAGCATCAAAATCTCTAGTCAATCTTAGGCTCAATATAATATCTGGACTCTGGTGAAGGAACCGGACAGAATTACACATCTAAGCATCTTTCCTTCGTTCGTTTTCTTCTCACTCTTTCTCGCCATCAAGCATCAATTCAAATAACCAAAAGTCAATTTGATTGTCTCTAATCATTAATGTCCAGACTTCCAGACCTTGTTAATTGCTGCAGTTTAAGATCGTTAAAGGTCATCTTTTCTTCATATCTTCGAGCATCATAACCATGGTGAAGCCATTGTCACATACTTTAACCGGCAACCATCAATTTTTACTACATTCTACAGCTCCCATTCAAGTCTTGAAGACCAAGTCCCATCTCATCCAGACCCCCACCCTCTCCCTTTACCTCCCCCCTCTGACATGTAATTATTTGGATAGTGTTAACAAACTGCAGACTGGAGGATCAGGCAAGGGTCCAGCCATATAGTATAGACGCAATTATGACAACAGTAGTTCATTAACAGGTATCATGGCTTTTACAAGAAATAGATCTCAAGATCAGCAAGCTTCCAGAATCAACAATGAGCCATATGCCAGTACTTGATGTACACATCTTGCTAAATGTTGTAATAGACTAACCTAAGAAGGGGTAGTATGGTATTCTAGTAATAGTAGGTTAGAGTCCTTAGCTTTAGTGTTTAGTATATATAGAGAGAGAGTAGAAAGAAGAAGGGGAGCAGAAATTTGTATTGAGGGAAACCTTAGAGAGTCATGGCCTAAAGCCATTTTGGAGAGTTGTGAGCTAAACTCACTCTTTTAGAGTAATAGCCTTAAGCTATTAACTTATCCTTTGTAACCCTTCCACCATTATCAATCAATCTTGAAGCTTTCATGTTTATTACTTGCATTATTAAATCAGAAAATAGTAAGCCAGAAAATCAGTTCATTACAAATGTATATGAAGTTGAAAGCAAACCAACCTGTAAATTTGAGCATGCGAGTTTGTGTCTCTCTCAATGTAAATGAAACTGACATGGTCGTTGTGAAGAAAACAAAGAGTGACATCATAAGCACCCCACATTTAGTTACCAGATAATCTGCATAGAAACAAAATAAGGCATATGAACCAACAGATATTCAGTAGAACAATAAAACTACGATCACAAAATATATATCAGGATCAACATAATTGATGTAACCAAGCTATTAGGAGTTCACTAGGATTTAGGAGAAAATAGATCAAGACCAGACTTTGATTATCACAGAAGACGAACCTTCAAAAGTAGCAGAGCTTTTTGACGGTTCATGGGCATAACTGAGGTTGTAAAACTCCTTCGTCTGATAGTTATATAGGTATCCTGCAGAGAGATTAGCATGTAAAGACTTCTGCTAAGAACACTACAAACTGTGAGAAAAGTAATGTGGCATTTTATACTACGAGCACCATTCAAATCATTGCTCATACCCCATACCCTTTAGGATGAGTATTAGTTATTGATTGGCATAGATGTGAAAATAATTTATACCTACATATGCCACATCCTGAAAACAACCTAGCAAGATTCCATCATTTGCGAGATCCAGATGAAGGTGATTTTACTGTTACAAGTTTACAACTTGATACTAGTGGAGACTGGAGAGGCTGCCTCAAGATATTCACAGCTAAAACATGAGCTCTATGCCTAAATAATAGTCCTTTAAAATTGTGCATAGGTATTAAGGAGGAATTACTTATTGCATTGGTATTGAAATCTGAACAGTTGCATAACATTGGTAGTGTATATTGAGTTCTACCTTGTCCAGGAGCATCTAGCAAACTGTTCATCAGAATAGTGTCATATCCCACCACTCTATTTATGAGAAGTTGTTGCCACCTGAAAAGGTAGGATTTGGTAAAGCCAGAAAAAATAAAAGAGAGAAAACAAATTGTTATCACCCTGGTTTTGAACCCCAAGGTCCAATAAAATTCAAAGTCATAGCATATTAGCAGTTTAGTCACATGAAACAGTATATAGGTACATTTTCAAGTAATAATAATTTTGATACAATTAATCCAATGTTGCTCATTATGTCAATTGAGTAGGGGTACATAGGCCTCAGCACTCAATGAGTCAATGGGAAAGAGTACTTAGGAATAGAAGCAAATAAAAAATTAATAAAACAGAACAAGAGTAAGGAGAATAAATAAGCTATAAAAAAGATAGAATAATAATCACCTGTTACCAAAGCAGTGATGCCGAGCAGATATGCTTATGTTAGCAGTCCGAATGTTATGACGAGATTTAGCTTCTTCAGGAAGCAAGAAATACCCCTAAAGATAAACAACAGATAACAAAATTAGCAACTAAGCTGGCACCACAACTCTACCTACCTGATTTGTTCCAAATTTATAATACAACGGAGAGTGCATAAGAAAACGAAACTGAACTCACCTTTTCCATAGTATAGAGATATGACGGTTCAAATGCTTTGATTTTCCTCTCAAGCCACTGCACTGAGAAGGTTAGAGTAACTTAGAAAATTTAACAAACAGGAATTATCTTCATTATAAGAGACATGTCAATTTGTTAAGAGCCTAGTATTTCATTTCTCTTGCCCCTAAGAATCCATAGAATGCTACTGTAATTCTGTAAGGGAAATTGACCAGCAAGACATGACAAACACATGTAAAAGATGATACACCCACCGTTTCATGCGTTATTTTCGCCTTTTGAAGTCTAACTTTGGCAGCTAATTGCTCAAGAACTATATAGATTACAAAAAGGTATGTTTATTAAATATGTTGCAACATTTATACTTATAATATAAAATGATATTATCCTTATATACTTCCATAAACCACATGAAGAAGTAACTTTTACAAATAAATTTTGTGAGGAAAATAATGAGCAATTAGAAATAGAGCATTGATTTGACAAGAAAATTAATTCCTATAGTACATTTTCAACATAAAACTAAAAATTCTACAATTTGTTTCCAATCAATAAGAAGGAATCAACACTAATGATGCGTTCTTTAAAATGGCTTTCTCAATGTTAAATTGAAGTGGCTAATACAACAATTCTGTTTTTCCAAACATTTAACTCATTCTACTTTATCTTTAAGAAGACAAACCATATAAAAGATATTACTTCAACTCTCATAAATACTCAACCCCTAAATGCATTCACTTTCAATTGATAGCGTTCAGCATTTTCAACTTACTTATCTAGGATAACGTTATGTAGCTCCTAATATAAGTAATGAAAACATAAAAAGACTCCCTTCTTGAAACATGTCTATAATCTCTATACAAGTGCTTATTTCTGAAAGGATATTAAGGAACAACACCTGCCAGGAGTCCTCTTATGCGTGAGATATTCTATGCATTTGAGGGTATGATCTTATTGTTTTCAACCTTCAAATACTATATGGGAGACTATTGGTGTGTTATATATCAGAAAATGAGGAGAAAAAGGGAAAAAAAAAAAAAAAAAAAAATTCTCTAAGGCTTCACATCACATCTCTGCTTGAAAGTTCCCGTTATGCATCGAATGTTTTTAAGTCAAATGACTGAAAAAAACTATTATCCATACAAATTAAAATTGAATTGGCAATTTCAGCTGAAGTAAAAATCAATCTACCTGCAAGCAAATTGAGCCTATCCAAGTGCAAAATATGCAGCCACTTAGGAATGTCAAGATTCAAGCGAATACCTGCAATGTTCTGTACTTGAAATCCAATTCAGCAACATAAAAAAAAATGTTTAACAGAACAAAATCACAAACATTTAAAGGACACTGAAATACATAATTTCAGGAAGAGTTAATCCATCTACAGAACAAGACCATCAACCATATATGTGCCATAGAACTGAACGAAATATTAATATATGACTATAAGAAAATATAAATTATGGTTTAATCTATTCAATTGATTTTTTTTTTTATATATCAAAATACATGATATGTACATTATAAGCTGTCTACATTATACTTGTATATTTGTATGATTGTATATTTGTATTATAGAACTGGAAACATTGTGCCATAAGGTTATACACATAACAATGGAATACAAAGTTGAGGAGTCTAACACTATTAAATAACAAGGAAATAATGCAATCAAGCAATAGGTATACAAATACATTCAGCAATTGCTCACTGAAAAAAAAGCTAGATATATGGAATTGTCATATACTTGTAGAAATTTTCCAGCTCCAATAAAAAAATAAATAAAAAATAAAAACAATTTATATTTTCAAAGTCATCAGTCATGAATTTGCATGGCAAAGGTGGATGAAGTTTTCATTTAGATGTTCATACAATCAAAGCATATATCATGAGATTTTGACCTTATTATCAGCGCTTCAGATTATCAAACATGACTTCATCAAAATTCGATGAAATGACATATGAAGTATGCCACACCTCACAAATCATCATTACCATCATATGGAGCTTTTAGGTCATATGCTAATGTTTCTAGAAGTTAAAGATTCACAGGAACCAACTGAAATAAAACTCCAGGTAGACGCTCAAACATTTAAAGAAGCAATATTTTGCACCAGCAGAATTCACCAAACACATACCCAAAGAGTTCCCAACAAACGTGTCCCATGTTTCCAGATAAATGTTAGACGTCTGTGCCACTTTCTGAAAAAGTGTAAGATGACTGCTCTTGCAGATTGTTTTGAAAACATGGAAAAGGTCTCAGATGGCTCCTCTCTTTCAACTCTACCATCATTGGCAGCTAACTTTGAGCCCCTACCATCAACGATAGTTTCTGGCTGTGTTTCAGAGTATTCATAATAATTTTTCCAAAACTTGAAGTTCAATTTTCCCCTCCTAGCACCAGAAGTAATCCAACCAAACCAGTAGTTCACGGCAAACAAGTTAAACTCGTCGTCATGGGCATCTGGCTCTCTAGGTCTAGGTTCATCATTAAGAATTCGTCCACGAGATATATCTTCAAAATTAGGTTCAGAATCTTTTTGAATTAGCAGGTCAATTCCAGTAATCTGCATCACCAGTTTGAGCATACGCATAAGCAAAAAGGAAAAACTGCCTACATATCAAAGAAATGGTTTTTTAATTAAGTTGTACACCATTAAATACCAATATTTATTACCTTGACGAAAATAAGCTGTGCTTCTGTTGTTTGCACTCCAGAGAGTTCACTGGAACAGCCCGGCTGCATAATTTTAAACCCAAAAGTCAAAGACATACAAGATCAAGAATACCAGTAGATCTTGATTCAATTTCGGTAATGAGGATGGATTCCTATCATACAAAACAACTTAAAGCACCAAAATAGGACTTTGATCCAGCACATTCAGGTTCGGCCGTTTCCTTGATCAAATCAGCAAAGACATACAATAGTATCATCTTTTCCTAATTCTATATGTATAAGCTACGCCCGCACAACAGGTGCCTCAAGAACCTGTCTATTTCACAACTACTCCCTCTCCGAACATGATCAACCATATTTAATTTGAAAAGTCTCAAAATAATAGGCCACTTTCTAGCAATAGTATGCTACAATTCGAGTTCAACAAAGAAGAACATTCATAGTATTCTCACTCACTCTATTCCAAGAAAATAACTACGATCAAATGTGGCATATTATCTAGGTACGGTCCGCCGGTCCGACGGATGAAGTATATCATTCCAATACAAGGTGAATTGACTTCAATCCATTCAATTCAATTATGTAAAAAGCAAAGAAATACTTAATTGAATCGTTTAACCATGCATTAACTTAAACTGAATTCAATTTCCAGAAATTCAAGATAATAAAAAATCAATCAAAGAATCAGAAAGACAAACTCAGAACACTACTACATAATTCCTACTTAAAACAACCGATTACAAAAATTCAACAAACAGTTCGTATAGTTCAAATTTAATCAAATTTCGAAATTAAATTGAGCTTAAAGAAGAAGGAATTTGCCAACCTGCTGAACAAAATTGGCGTGCATAACAACAAGGATAGCGAACAAAGTAATAGCGGTGAAGAGATAAAAGTACTCAAGAGCAGTTCGAATTCTAAGCGTAATCATCTGTGAAAACCTCTCCTGAACCCTAATAAACGTTTGTTCAGGATCCATTTTACAGAAAATTCAATCAATTTTTCCCCAAATTGTTGCTGAATTATGAGCTAGGGTTTAGCATCAATTGGATGATGATTGTAGCCCTAAAATCATCGGAAAATGAAGGTTGATTTGTGATCAACAATAGAGGAGAGAGAAAGTTGAGGAGGAAAATGAGGAGATAATCAAGGGTTTAAAAAAAATATTAAAAAAAAAAACTCTGGGAGTTGAGAAATCAGATGAGAGTGAAAGAGAGGAAAAAGAGGGGAAGTCTGACCTCGGAATGTTGATTGCGTGGCGGGTAAGCCCACGAATTGCACGAGATCATTTATGTTTGGTTTTGTTACAATTTCAGGTAGACCATTGATTATTTTAATACTCACTCCGTTTTTAGAGAGTAATAAAATATGAAAGCAGTGGGGTAGGTGAAAAAATAAAAAATAATAAAAAACAAAAGTAGTTGAGAGAATGGGATGTGAGAGAATATGAAATTGATAAAATATGATTTTTGGTGGTTCCACTAGGTGAGAGAAATGAATTAAATATTAGGTTAGTTCCCGTGCCAGGGTAATTATTAATAACCATTATTAAACTACAATTATTAGTTTTTTTTTATAAACATTCTAAATATATAGTTGACAAATTTTGATTATAATAAAGGATTACAAAAGATATGTTAGATATAAAATGATGTAGAATGATTAAAATTATGTTAATAATTTTTTTATAGCTATATAAATATTTGTGTTAAAGATATGCCAAATCTTTTTTTTTTTAAGTGATTATATTGTATAAGATTAGGGAATTATTTTATTAGCATAAAAAAAATAACAAAACAAACTAAGGACACACCAGAAGATGACACGTGTCATTGCTGGTATGTCTTTTAGTAGACTAGACTAGATGAAGCCCATGCGATACACGGTTTGTTTGTATTTTTTTACAACTTATATATTTTTTTCCTATGTTTGTGATAAAATTTGTTACTTTATTTATTCTTTGTACATAGTATATCATATTATCATTTAATATTTTTATTTTATTTATTTTAAAATAAATGTGAATTTTCTCTCATTCGTTATATATTTAAATGAAATTCCTAATATCAAAAGATAAATTTTTATATTTATTAATATAAACTTTAAAATTTCATTTTCCAATTTAAATGATAAATGATGAACAATTTAAGGATATATTTTTAATTTCAATGATTTTTTATTTATTTTTTTATTTAATTTAAAACTGATTTTTTTTTTTTGATAAACCCTGATATTTTTTTTTTAGTCAAACGTGATTTCATTTTTTATTCGTATTTTTTATAAAATATTTTATTATAATAACTAGTCATATTTTCATTATTTTTTTTTATCTAATCCATTTTTTTTTTTAAATATCAATTGAACGTGAATTTCATTTTTTTAAAGTTTAATAATATTTTTTTATTTATAAAATTTTCAATTTAAAAAGATAGTATTTTATTTTTATAATAAATTTAAATTTTTAATTTTAATCTTATGTGGTGCTTTAAAATAACAATCCTACATGGCATAATCCTATACGTAACGCTCTAAAAAATACTAATCCTACAAAGCGCTCTAATAATTTTTTAGAAATCAATATTATTAGGTGGCTCTCTGAAATCTTGGAAAAAACTCCCTTTTATATGATTTAACGTGATTTCAATTTTTTTATTAGTATATTTTTATAAAATATTTTATTATAATCACTTGTCATATTTTCATTATTTATTTTTTATCTAATCCGATTTTTCTTAAAAAAAATCAATTGAACGTGAATTTCATTTTTTTAAGTTTAATAATATTTTTTTTATGTATACGAAATAAAATAAATTTTTTCTTTTCTGTTAGATAAAATTTCCAATTTAAAAAGATAGTATTTTATTTTTATAATAAATTAAAATTTTTAATTTTGATATTTCGTGGCACTTTAAAATAACAATCCTACGTGGCATAATCCTATAAGCACGCTCTAAAAATACTAATCCTATATGGCGCTCTAATAATTTTTTTAAAATAAAAATCCTAGGTGGCTTTCTAAATTCTTAGGAGTAACTCCCCTTTATATATATATTAGATTGTTATTGATTGATTGTAAAATCTTTCCAAATAAAGAAATGGAGCAAATATTTAAAAATGACCGAAAATCGAAAGTGGAGCAAGTATTTAAAAATGTAGGGAGTACCTAGTAATAAAATATTGTTCATCGTCTTTAAAAAAAAATATCATTTGTTCTATATCGATTGCAAAATGAATAAAATATCTTTTATTCGCCTTTTAAAAAAAATTATCATTTGTTCTAGTATGTCGATTGCAAAATCTTCGGTCATTTCTAGATGTATTTATCGTGAAGCAAATGGAGGAAACATTATTATTATTATTATTATTATTATTATTATTATTATTATTATTATTATTATTATTATTATTATTATTATTATTATTATTATTATTATTATTTTCTTACACTAACATTAATTAAATTTCTAATGGAAAGTAATGTTTGAAGTCTATTATTAAATGATTGTATATAATAGAGGATTAATGGTTGGAAATAAAACTTGTGAATAAAAGTTCACAAAATGACATTTTTATTTATATATGGATTGTTTTCGTGAAAACATTTAAAAAATTTAAGATATTTTTTAAGAATATATTAAGAGTTCAAGACAAATTTAATAAGTTTGGAGTGTGTATTTAAATTTCTTAAGCTAAATTCACAATCAACCGTCAAATAGTAGCAGGTAACAAATTAACTCAAATGTGTTATGTGTAGCAATACAAATTAATAATGAAGGAAGTACTTATTTATTGATACTTGCACAATACACGTCATTAGCATGTTCTTTGATTAAGTGATTAGAGAAGATGACGAAAAAAATAATAAAAATGCAGAATGAGTTTTACTATAATTACCTAATTGACCATTAGTTCCTCTTATCAATTGTTGAACTTTATTTGATTAATTTTTTTGATTACTTTATCTAATCTTCATCCAAAAAAAAAAAAAACTCCCTTTAACTTGGGATCTGGTATGTAACAATAATCCATACACGTTACAGTTGCTCAAATTGTATTTTACAGCATGTTGCTTTTGTTTACTAAGCTTCAATGACAGAATATGCAAAGATTACTCGTATGACAGAATATGCAAAGATTACTCGTATTAAGGGTTCGTTTGGTAGGGTGTAAAACATTTTCAATGTAAAATGGTTTTCCATGAAAATCATTTTACAATGGAAAACTCATTTTCAAAAAAGTTTTCCGTTGTTTGGTTGAATAGAAAATGATTTTCCATTTTAAGCATTTTCCATTGTTTGTTTGAACTGAAAATTCAATTGTGAGGGAAAATGTTTTCCCTCCACTTGTGATGAAAAATGTTTTCCTTCTAAATTGGGGGGGGAAATTTTTTCAGTAAGGTGGAAAATGATTTTCCACCCCAAGTTTTACATTTTAATGTTTTACACCAAACCAAACAATGTAAAATGGGAAAACACTTTTCAGTGAAAATGTTTTACACCCTACCAAACGGAGCCTAAATAAGACAAGTTTGTACTAGATAGAGAAAAATCTGCACTGGTCATAAAAAATTGACTATAAAATTGAGTACTACATTAAGAAATAGACTTAGTAGGGGGTGGTAAACTTGTAGGAGGCATACGATAGGGTACCGAGGCTCCAGGTGCGGTGTATGAGCTCCGCTTTCGTATTTCCTCCGGCAGCACCCATGGCCACATGCAGTGGGTAAAAATGATCAGGCGTTGGATGCGCTGTTCTTGCATTAGGCGCTTTTTGTAAGTAGTTATTCACGTCTTCATGCCTGGATTGATTTTTAAAATAGCTAGGTACGTAAAATCATCACATCATCATGAAAATAGAAACTTTAATGAAACAATGATGAACATGGAAACTTTAATAATATTTTTAGAGTGGACGACTAATTTTTTTCATGTCCACTTTAGAACATGGAAACTTTAATGAAATAATGATAAACACAGTATGTAGCCATATTTCAAAAGCATAATCATGAATTCAATGTGCCAAACGACCGTATGAATTGAGGGCATCTTTAAGGGTGAACTATTTAATTGTTCACAATGAATAAACAAATAAAGTGGTGGCTTAATGACAAACCTTTAATGGTTCATGTTGAGTGGTCATGGGTTCGATTGCAGGAGCAAGCATTTCCATGAATTAATTCGCTGTGGGCCCCACCAATATTTTGGACTGGTATTATAGCAAAACGACGTCGTTTTGCTGTTGAAGCTCAGAAAAAAAAATAGAAATCAGCGGCTGGGAGCGCGCCACTTGGCCCAGCCGCTGCTTGACACGTGTGCACTGTTTTAAATATATCCGTTGTAATTTTGCAACGGATATATTTTACAAAATACAAATCAAAAAAAAAAAAAATTACCAACGACTCTATTTTTTCCCCCTCTATAAATAGACACCCATATTGATATATTTTTTTCAACTTTCAAAATTCATTTTTTTCTACTATATTTTTCTCTTCAAAAATCCCCTCTATAATTACCAATATTATTATTATTATTTACCTCCTGTCAACTTCGTAGTCAATGGTCATCATTATACGAATGGGTATTATCTTACTGATGGAATCTACCCTAGATGGGCTTCTTTTGTGAAATCCATTACGAGTCCACAAACTCATAAGGATCGTTTATTCGCAAAACACCAGGAAGCTGCAAGAAAAGACGTTGAACGTGCATTTGGGGTCCTTCAAGCTCGTTTTGCCATTATTAAAAAGCCGTCTTTGGCGTGGGATACCGACATACTCCACAATATCATGCTCGCCTGCATCATAATACATAATATGATCGTTGAAGATGAACGAGAGACGTATCAAAATAACGTTAATACCAATGAGTTTATGAATGCTGGAGGGAACGCTAATGAGGACACTACCGAGTACCGTACTGATCGTATTGTGGATATCGGCTTATACTTGTCTCGTAGAACAGAGATTGAGGATCAACAGACTCATTTGCAGCTAAAAAACGACTTGGTCGAACATATATGGAATAAATTTGGTAACAACGAAAACTTAGGCAACTAGGTTTACAACAAATGGTTATCCCTAAGGACATCTTACAAAACGATGTGTAGTTGTGTTTTTTTTTTAAATAAAATGTACTAGATTATAGTTGTAGAACTGTAATCACGATTTGTACCTCTTTTTTTTATGTTAATTAAAATTAGCTGCGTTGTTGCTTAAAAAATATTAATCACAAGAATTAATTTTTTAAAAAGCTGATAAAAAAACGCGATAATTTCTTAATTAGTAATCACGATTAAAATATTAAATACGTCAATTAATTACATTGACATCGGTTAATAAATTATAATTATGAAACAAAAAGATTATATTTACAAAAATAAAATAAGGTGGGGTAGGGAGTATTGATGATGAACCATTGTTTAGTGTTTATTGTTAAGAGTGAATATTGTAAATGGTTTGTTGGGTTGATGTGGATGAGAGAGAAATGGTGATAGTGACCCATGAACCATTTTTTTTTGTTCACCAATAATGGTGCTCTGAATGTGCAAAAATACTTTTTCTAATTTATTTGGAAACAATTGTCACATTATTCCAACTCGTATAATTAAGATAAAATATAATTTTACTATATATATATTGAATATCCATATCGGATCAATGCAAGCTTTGCTAATTAATTAGCCAAGTTATAACTCAATTAAGCTAGTCACATCATCTCATATCTTAGTTAATAAACCAATAGTTTTGATACAAAAACATAGTACACATAAGAAACGTAGAACAACAAAATTTACGTTACCTTCCATTGATCAAAGCTTCTTCAAGCCATTTATCAAATTCGCCGGCCCATGGAACGACTTCTTGATCTTTAGCATCCCATCGTAGGTCACTCAAGTTATGTACGGTGGTTCCAGAACCAATGATTAGAACACCTTCCTCCTTAAGCGGAGCCAATGCTTGCCCCATGTTATAGTGGTACGTAGCATCCTTGTTAATTTGGATAGAGAGTTGACAAACAGGGAAGTTAGCTTCAGGGTACATGAGCATCAGAGGCACCCATGCACCGTGATCAAGCCCTCGTTCCTTGTCTATGTGCACGCGATTGATTCCAGAGGTTGTTAGAAGCTCTTGCACACGCTTTGCCAAATCTGGAGCCCCAGGAGCAGGATACTTGAGCTGTGAACCCATAAGGATGTTGATGTTATATATTAGCACTAGCATAATGCCTTTCATTAATTGCTTAAGGACAAAAGTCCAATTCACACGACATTGGATATTATAAATTGCATAGTATTTATACTAATACTACTTTTAGCTTCTTATACATAATGGAATTACAAATTAATGTAGGTACATACTAGAATCCGATCCAATTGTTTATATTTGGATAGCAATTTAGTGAATAATATAATACCCCTCAAAGTCATAAATCTCAACAACTCTCACCAAATCCTTGTATGAGTGTGTTCTAAACAAACCAAAACATTAATTTTCGGAGACGGGTACTTGTAATTATATTATTGGAACAAGAAAAGAAGAAAAACATTCCAGCCTATATTATTATTTAAGGGGTAATGATGAACTAAACTGCATATAAACATTTTTAATATAAATCATGTAAGATTATTTCAAGCTACTTTCTAGATACATTGAAATAGCTTGTTGTTGAACCGATGATATGGAAAAGCAAAGTTCAACCAATGAGATTTCTCTAAGTGTGAATTAGTACAGGTGAAGTTGACTCAAGAAGTGGAAAAGTACTCTGACTATGAAGATCCAAGGAGAAATAAAAGAAAGATAAGGAGAATAGAAGAAGAGTTCCTCATTGGAACTAGAAGTGATCCTTAACAGGAACACAGAGAAAAGAAGCTTCCTAACAGGAGATAGACAACAAGCTAAGTAGACTAGCTTGGACTGCGTTGAAGACAACAAGTTTCAGAAGAACTTGGTCTGCGAGTTTCAATTCAGCAAGGTGCTGAAGAAAAGAAGACAGCAAGAATTCAATCCTGGTCTGCGAAGAACCTAAGTTCCTATACACTTTACGAAGCTCGAGGAGGCAATCCAGTAATAAACTTAAAGTCTTTTATTAAGGGTTTTGTTAAGTTTATTTTTATTAGGATTGTTGTAAATATGCGTTGGTTAATTATGCATGAGATCTATTAGAAACGTGATAAAGTTTGGCAAGCTAAGTAAAAAAGGAAGTTTTGAAAAAGATAAGTTTTAATTTATGGAAAAGATCTTTAAGAGATTTTATCTTATAAAGTTTGGGTTACAAAATATTAATCTTATACTAAATTATATCTTTGTTTGATTTTCCTAAAGATTTTCACAAAAAGATTCATTTCATATTGGGTTTTAATAAACGACAGTTTTAATATTTATCCTTTTGAAAAGTCCTACTTAACATATGAATTCTTCTTGTGTATGAATGCTTCTTGTATAAATAGAGGTAATTATATTCTGGAAAAGGCGTGAGTTTATGCGTGAAAATCTCAAGAGTACTTAAGAGTAAGTTTGCCAAGTTTAAAGCTTCATCATATTAGTTTCGGGTTTCATGTGTAGCTTTCCAATTTCATATTAGAGTCAAGTGTTTGTATTGTTTTGGGATTTGGGTGAGTGATTTAGTATTGCATACAGTTTGTAGGCTTCTAGTGAGAAACTGAGTTTGAATGCTCTGGGAGTACTAAGTGAATTTAAGTCCGGGACTTAAGGTGTATAGAATAGGGCTCTATCGAGTAGCAGGTTCGGTCTGGAACTTGTGAGTAAAGGTTTGTACTTAATAGGTTGTAACTAGGTGTGTTTCCCTATTATAGTGGATTGGTTTGGTTTGAAATCCATTGGAGGATCGAGGTTTTACTTCCAGTTGGGCCTGGAAGCTTTCCTCGTGAATATCGCTGTGTGCTTTACAAGTTCCTATTTATTTTGTTTTAATTTCTGCAAAAAGTAGTCACTTAGCAACTTACTACAATTCACCCCCTCTTATATTAGTTCATCACAACTAACACTTGTTAATTAAATGACGAGTCTTTCTAGTTAATTAAGATAATAATAACAACAATAATAGAAATGAACTACTAAGAAGTGAAATAAATGAAATGAATGGAGTTGATGAATTGATGATTTTAATTATATTGAAGTGTCAAATGAATTGAACTTAGTAGCTTAATCAACTGAATTACAATGGAGCTAGCTGAGCAAAGGAGCTGAAGTTTTGAAATATAAGTGTAATGAACTATATATAAAATGCTTACTAATCCGAAACTTCCAAAAATTACAAGTAAGTCTCTATCTACAATCATCAAATTTAGCTCCCTAATAGGGTTGCATTTAACATTTTTATTTTGTTAACGACTACATATACGATCCCACAAAAATTCATCTAAAACAGTATTCCAAACAAAAAAAGAGAGTTCAGGGGAGAAAGTACCTTATAGAGATCAAGAGGAGCAGGATAACCATCAAAATCATAGATGGTGTTTCGGGTGAAAACAATGGGACCTTGTCGAAGGTCCGATGAAGTGGAGAAGACTGGATTCGGTCCAAGTGATGTTGGGCCGAAGGTTTCCTGCACAGTAAACACACGTAAACTAGCCTTGGGGGTGTTGCCGAGGAAGGCCCCTCCGATGCTAAAGTCAGTACAGTGTGTAGAAAGAGAACACTATGCAAGAGAATTAATTGCTTGAGGCTTTTCTTGAATGAATGTACAAATGTAATATTGATGGCTTTTATACCTTTGCATATATGGAGAAGTTGGGCCTTAGCCCAATTGGCTTGCCTTGAGGACTGATCTTTGACTTTAGCACAATTGGAGAGATGAACCTTGACCTTGGGCTTTTAATTGGATCATTTAATACCTAGGCCCAATTGGACTAAATTGGACCCAAACAACTTGCCCCCCAGACCCGATTGGGAAGGATGACGGGTCGGGTTTGATTTAATCAGAAAAGGAGGGAAGTGAATGATTTAATTAATCCAAAAATTTGAATTTAAACCGTAATTAAACCGTAATTAATGAGATAACAACAGTTAAGGCGGATAATTGTGGAAGTTGGACGGATAATGGGCAGTTTAATCGCAAGGTCGTGTGTTTAACGGTTACTTAGTGGGGTATTTAAGAGAAATTGAAACGCGGACTCCCCGTATTCCCATTTCTGGAGATATAATTAGAGGCGCGTCATCTCTCCTCACTTATTCACCAACACAAACCCAGAATTCTCGAGAGAACCCAAGAACCCGCATCACAACTTCGCAAATTCCCTGAGCATTAAGCTTAGAAACTGAGACTCGCCACTACCAATTCGTAAATCGGCAACTTTCGCTTCAGATTAAGGTAAATTCCTTTGATTTTAGTTTATTTTTCTTCGAATTTGAGCTCCTTCCCCTTTTTTCGACTTTTTTCTTCGAAATTATCAATGGCGAGAGGAGTTAGGGGTAGAGCCCGTGCTCCAAGAAGAGCAAGGCCAATTCTCGATCCCAGGAACAGGATTGGGACCTGGAATGGACAAAGAGCAGAGTCTGACCCTGCTGAAGGGATTAGGGCGACTCCAATTTCTTCGGCTCCTCCTCAGAGAACGGAGGGGCCGAGCGCTTCTGGGCAGGACGATGAAGTTCCCGCTGTCCTTTGGGATATCCTTCCCGGGTTTTCAGAGTGGGAGGATGCCGAAGTAGCTTCGGCCATGATAAAGAACCGCCCCTACTCATGGTGGGTGGAGAATGCCGAACAGTATCGGTTTGCCGAACAAATTGAGTTGCATTACGGCATCCTTGAAGCTGATGGGTATTGGTGCCGAATGCCCGTGGCATCCGATAGAATCCATCGTCCACCCCCGGGGTATGTGGGGGTGTACACAAGACAACTTCAGTATGGGCTGAGGTTCCCTTGGACGTATTCGTCCGAGACTTGCTGATCCATTACAATATTTCTCTATGTCAGCTAACTCCTATTAGCATCCGAAGGGTGATGACATACTTATGGGTCTGCAAGTTCTTCAGGTATGTGCCGAACCTGCACTGCTTCAAAAAGCTTCATCGGCTAGTGCCAAATATTCAAAGTGGGCACGGAAGTCATGGTTCTGGGTGGTACCGGATTGAGTCTCGGCCCCAGTACCTAACCATGTGGCCGAACGACTCTTCAGACAAGGACTGGAGAGGTCAATGGATTTGGGTTAGGGCACCCACGGACCCGGGCCACCCTTGCGTCTTCAGCGCTCCCCGGTACCTTGCTGAGCCTGATCCCGACATGGGAAGTTTAGGTCCCCCCCGCAGATAACGGCCCAGATCCGAACCTTAATCAACAGAATATCTTCGGCAAGCTGCCGAACCGGGGGGGGGGGCAGCGGCCGAATGCAGCATATCCCGGAGACTTGGCTCCCCGATACGCATTATGTTTTCAAGAGAACATGCTAGCAGCTGTCGGCCTCAGCCGAAAGTTTAAGGATGGTAAGCTTCTTCGGCTGGGGCCGAGGCCTTTTAATTATCTCTTTTTCTCCTCTTTCACTTCGCTTTTTTATGCTGTGCCAACCTAACTGAACTGACCTTTCCCCTTTTCTTTTTCAGAGCGGGACGAGACCAACGTCGGCATTAACTACGCTCGTTTTGGCGTCAACCGAGAACGAGTTGTAACTGATCGGGCCCCCTCTATCACTGAACCGAGGCATAGAGAAGTTCATCTAGACTCTTCCCACTTCAAAATTGAGGCTGTTGCTCTGTATCAGAGGCAGAAGCCTTGGTGGAAGAAGAGAGATCCCTGGTTTCAGCTGCTGGACGAAGAAGCTGAAGCTGCCCGTACGGCCGAAGAGGTTGCACGGGTTATTGAAGCTTGTGAAGGAGGAGAAGGGTCCTCCAGGGCTGCTGAAGAAGAAGCTGCAGCTAGGGCAGCTGAAGAAGACGAGGCTTTGCTGAAGACCTCGGTGAGCTTTCAGACTTAATTTTGTCTGTTTCTGTTTGTTGTTTTGTTTTTTTTTTTTACTCACATTCTTCCTCCCCCCCTGTCTTTTACAGTCTGAAGAGAGTAATAGACACAGAGAAGGGAAAGCCCCTGTTCGTCCCGAAGACCAGATACAAGAATAGTCCTCAGACTCAGACATGGACAAGCAGCCGCTTCAGAAAAGGCGCCGAAGAATGGCCATCATCGGCCCCCATGACTTTCAGCGGAGGCCGATGACCATCGGCGTCGAAATAAGGGAACCCGAGGAAGGCAATGGATCGTCGAGGGTTCCCCGGCCACCACCTCAATCACCTCCAAAGACCCCTCCGCCACCTCCCGAGATGGAGGTGGATCAGAAAACTCCCGAACCTAAGGGAGGGGTCCAAGAAGAAGTTCAAGAGAGTGCTGCTGAGCACAAGAATGAGGATGCCGTGATGCCCAGTACTGAGGGTTTCACGGCAGACATTGCAAGAGAGGTTGAGGCCTTCGTCCTCACCCCTGAAGAAGAAAAAGTCATAATAATTGACTCTTCTGAGAAGAAGGAGGATGCTGAGCCATCCAAAGTTAAAGAAGCTCCATCGTCATCCTTTCCTTCCTTCCAGACTCTGCAATCTGGAGAAATGGGTTTCTCGGCCCCCCGAATTCCAATCCCAGATCACATCTGGGACCTCATATGGGGTCAGAACCGAGAAGGTGCTGCAGCCTACTTCGGCGATTTTGCTGGCATGTCCGAAGTAGATAGGGCAAGAATCTGGTCGCTGAAGGCCACTGCTGGGATGGGCGAATCCAGCAGATCAGTTCCTGACCCAGCCAGGTCTAACCAAATGCTGATGATGCAGGTGATTTTCCTTGCCTTTATCTCCTTTAAAATTCAGCTCTTCAATTATCATTATTATTATTATTTTTTATTTTAACTTGTGCTCCTGTTTTCAGTTCGTGCACAATCAGACTCTCACTGTAGAGCTGATAGATACCCTACAAGATAGGGTGGACGCTGTCGAGCACGACAAAAAGGTAGCCGAAGAGGAGTTAAAGCTTGCTAAGCTGAAGCAAGCAGCAGCTGAAGAGAAGCAGCAGAAGGGTGAAGAATATGAGAAAAAAGCTGCTGAAGCCCTCAAAACCTTCTGCGATGCTATGGAGAAGGAAGTTTTTCCCCCACTGATGGAAGGGGAAAAATTCCTCCAAGAGCACATGGGAGTGGACATCTCCAAATTCAAGGCTACCATTGAGAGCCGAATCTAGGAAGGAGCTGCTGCACAAGCTGAAGTCCAGCAACAACTAGAAGCTCTTGAAGCCAGCAGAATGGCTGCTGAAGAGATGCTCTAAGCCAGGGATGTCCAACTCTCAGAGGCTGCTGCTGCTGCTGAAGCTTAGAGAGCTAAGCTCCAAGAAGCTGAGGATCAGTTGATGGCCAAAAAGGAAGAAGTGGCCCAGGCTTAGACAGAGGCTTACCAAGTTCAGCAGGAGCTGAATGAGCTGAAAGGTTCCTCCTCCAAGCTCGCCGATGAGCTGAAGAAATCCAAGGAAGACTTGGAGGAGACAAAGAAGAAGTTGGCTGATGCTGAGGCTCTACTCAAAGTCCGTGTCTATACCCAGGAATAATATGAAATGGGTTTCAGAAACGGGTTCAGAGTGTGCCGAAGAGTCTGCCTTCATGCTGAGCCGAAGTTGGACTGGTCCAAATGTGCTGAATGGGTCCAGGATCCCGAAGACCCTCATATGAAGTATGCAACTCCAGTCGAAGCTGAAATCCTTAAGGCTGAGGAAGCCGAAGAAGAAGCTGAGAGAATGGAGTTGGAGGCTGAACAGAGGGAAAGGGAGGCTCGGCAGAGTGCAAAGCCTGCTTCTTCTGCTGCTGGGGCTGAGACCACCATGGGGCCCAACAATGCTGACCAGTCTGATCCTCGGGCTGAAGCATAGGAACTCGGGCAGTCGTTTTCAGAATCTTGCGGTTCATCATGCGCTCAACTTTAGACTTGCCGCTTTCTGAATTTTTTCCTTGTTTGTTTTTTGCTTCAGCTTGCCTTGTCGTACAAAACAGTTTATTTTTTTGCTTCTGTACGTTTTTCGGCAGCTGTTATTTTCCGCTTGTGGGCGGCTGCCGATATAGTTTTTTAACTTATTTGAACTTGTAGCTCAATTTCTGAGCATGAATTATTAATTTGATGTTCTTTTCTTCAGCTGCTTTGTTTTTGAATGCTTTACTGTTTCTTCAATTCTGCTGAACATAAACTTGCACTGGTAGTGCTTCTTGCCCCCCCCCCCCCAGAAATTGAAGTACGACTTCAGCTGAATAAACAATTTCTTTATTTCTTAAAAATGGGTATTCGAAACACAGGGCCAACTGAAGGCAATGCTTCGGATAATGGCTTTCTGGGATACAAGGCTCAGTTAAGGCAATATCCCAGAATTGTCCATGGACTCATGCCTTTGGAGAACAAATCTTACTGAAGCTTGACTTCAGCTGAAAGACTAGAGTTCTTTAAAAAGACGAGTTTGTCAGCAATCTGAAGCCCAGTTACCCGAAGGCGAAGGTTTCAGACGAGGCTGA